TTTTTGGTTACTATATCTTCATTCTATTTTAAAATATAAAAATGTTCGCCCCTCTTTTTCAGAGGCTTTCACACATATTTTACTTAACATAGTACAAAATTATTGCAAATCATTGGTCCTTTAGAAGCCTCTTTAAAAATTATAATTCTTTCATTGGTATTATAAAAAAAGGATTTCATTAGCAATGTAAAATTATTCTTTTTTTAAAATTTTTTTTTTTTTAATTATAACCAACATCATACATATAAGAGACGATACCCTTATTATATAGGCCAGTTGCTGTAAAAGTGAAATCGCCTAAAAGTATCTTTATTTTAATACTTTCAGAAGGAAACAAAATCGACAGGACGCAGAACAACAGCAGCACTTTATGGATTCAGTTTGTGCTGGTTATCATGCATTGCTGCGTATATTTCAGTATCTTAAGGTACAAGAATTACTTCGGGCTGCAAGAGTGTGTAAAATGTGGCGAGATTTAGCGGCACATCCTTCTTTGTGGAAAACTGTACGAATGAAAAATAGTCAAGTAACAGACTGGGATGGTTTAGCTGATACATTACAGAGGCGTGGTACTCAACATTTAGATCTTCGAAAAATGCTTGTGGCAGGCGAATCCGACAGCATTTGGAAAAAGTTTTTATTAGTAATACCACGTGTAACTAGCCTTGTCAAACTAGAATTGTGTAAATGTCCTGTGATGGTTGTTGAAGAAGTTATCAGAAGTTGCCCTCAATTAGAAGTATTAAGTGCAATGTCGATAAAATGTGATTCTTTGAATTTAGAATCAGTTGGAAATCTTAAACGTTGTCAAGAATTAAGGCTCAAAGCAATCAGTGGAATGTCATTGCAAGAAGATCTCACACGTTTACAAGAATTAACGCAATTGACACAGTTGGTGAGTATATAATTATTTCTATTTACATTCTTTAATTGCAATTATTGAATTGTATTTTCAATAACTAAATCAAATTTATATTTCACAGAGTTTAACATCGGTTAAGGAACTTGGGAAGAAAGGAATTGATATAATACAAACTTTAGTAAATTTAGAAACACTAGAATTGGGTGAATGTTCGGACTTCCCAGATAAATTTGGTACCACAGTTTTAATAAAATTACAAAAATTAGAACGTCTTAGGCTGGAAAAAGGACAAGGTTCATGTTGTACATTTGACATTTTGGAAGGCGTGTCTAAATTGCAAAATTTGATTCAAATGGAACTGGTTAATTTTGACGTTAAGAATGGTTTTGATAAATACCTTGCGAACTGCAAAAACATTAAAAGATTATTGATTATACCAACGTACATATCTCAGTCGGCAACATCCAACAATATGGTTCTTGGAGGTGTTACTGAATTATCAAATAATTTGACGCATTTCGTATGGGGCGTTACACTTGAGTTACTCAGGGTTACAGAATTATTTGTTGATCAGTGTAATCTAATGAGTAAACAGGTTACTGGAGATTCGATACCAGTTTTAAAACCAGTGCCCTGCTTAAAATTAATCGAGGATGTTGAGGATGAAAATGACAATCAAAAAGGTACTTGCATGTGTCTTTAAAATATATACATCTATGTAATATATGTACATCTCTATGTATTATATATAAAAAATGTAAATGTATTTTATAATTAATTCTACGTATTTTCTTTCATTTTTTTAGGTGATGATAAACAACAGCCAAATATAACAAATCCTCAAGTGGATATATTACCATTACCACAACTTCAGAAACTTTTACTAACTGCATTGCCTAAAACAAGGGTTAAAATTTTGAAGATTCCTTTTCATGCTACGTGGCGGCAAAGCATTTCAGATACTGCTACACAATAGAAAAAAAAAAAGAAACAATATGTATGAATATACATATACTAGAAAGGGAAGAAAAAAATACCTGATGTGAGAAAATTAAAAGTTTTGTAAATTGATTCCATAGCGTCGGCACAATTTGCCCCAATAGTTACGTATTGGATGAAAAGTAATTTAATATTTATGTACTATATGTTTTGTAGTCTTCAACAATTCCCCTTCAATTGAATATATTGATACACTCTACAGTGACCATGAATACTGTTTTTCTTGAATACTTTAGTGAAACAAGGGACCACAAATGCATCGCGTGCTATTTTAGCTGCAAGGCAAAAATCCATAAGAAGCTGGTATCCTTGTATAAATTGTTTAAAAATCATGAAAGTCTTAACATTTATAAACTACAGTACTTGGAATATATGATATATATTTAATTTGGTATACTGTAACGTGTATCTATGGTGAATAGAATTGTCTGAAATATAGAAAAAGAATTGTAAATGTTTAAAATAATTATATTGAACTAAAATTTATGAAAATATCGCACACATTTATTAAGGGGATGAAGTATGTTACTTTAAGTTTTTACAAACTGTAGGATTTTTATGACATATACACATACACAATTCATTGAGCCCAAACAAATTATAGTTTTAATTTCATCATATGTAACAAATCTCGTTAAATTTCTATTAAAATAGCAGTGAAAGAGAAGATCATAAAATCTTTAAGGCTCTATTTAGAGGTTAGGATGTATAAATAACAATATATATGATTAAATTATATAATAATTGTATGCGTATCTTTAGTATTTAAGATACGAGTTTTCCGCTGCAAAGAAATATCAAGAAATATATAAGTAATATGTAGATAAGAATGTACTTATAATTTTGCATAATACGTATTCATATACAATGTAAAAATGTAGTGAGTTATACGTACTCTGTACAAATTATGCTGTTATGATAAATTTCTTAATCAAGATTTTTCAATTTTTCAGTAGTTAATATAGATGTTATTCCTCCTTTTTTTCGTTTTTTATTTTTTTGATGTTATTCTCAAAACAGTATAGCAGTGTGATCTAAAATTAGATCTTATATTCAAGTGATAAAGATAAACGAATGTGAAATGTTTTTATTATGAAAAATTATATGTATAATTTTTAAATAAAAGAATTTTACATAAAGTGAGATTAGTAAATAAAATATTTCAATTAATAATATTAACTGTTACATTGATTCTGTTCTTAATCAAATCATATTTATCGCCTCTACTTTGGCATATTTTTGTAAAAAAAATGGATAATTAGTAGTTATCGTATTTTGCAGCGGAAAAACTCTATTGTTTTATTATATTATTTTTTAGTTGTACACAAATCGAATAATTTATAAATAATTAAGGAGGTTCTAAAAATGAACTCTTAGTCAACGACTTAAATATATAAAAGAAAATATTTTTTACGTTAAATATAAAATGTGAATATTATGAAAATAAATATAAGGATAAATATATGACTATTAGCCTTAATGTGAGTATTATAAATAATTTTATATGAAATTAATAAATGTTAAACTATTAGTAGATTTTTATCTTTTTCAAAATTAAAAACATTTTCCAAACTTTTATTTCAATTATTATTATTTCTTTTTGTGTTTTTGTATCTTGTAATTTTTTCTTTAATGCACTTTTTTTTTAATGACATGGAATTCAACATTCTTGTATATTTTACATATATGTATTATGTGTTTGTGATTTTCTGTGAATATTGTAGCTAAATTTACACACATAGATAAAAATAGGAACTAGAGCCTTGATTTTCTGTTTGTAAATAATTATCTCAGCTACATGTTTTTGGACCCTCCTTAATGATAATTTTTATATATAACAATATAAAGGCAATATAAATTTATTCTTAAAGATTTATCAAATCGTTTGTTTATTTGCATACTTTGTACAATACAAATCTTATACTAAAAAGAAATTCTTGTTATTTATGCTTTACTTTATTATTTCATTCTATTTCATTGAACAATTTTATACAAAGAAATGAAAAATATGACACTTAAATTTTTATATAATAAGTATATATGTATCTGTAGATATATTTTGCATTTTTTTTTTTTAGAAAGAGGTGTCATGTCGCGTAAATGTCAATGTAAATAATACAATCGTTACTTTCGAATAAAGTTACTTTTTTTTTTTGTTATATAAATGCAACGTTACGGCCAATTTTACTATTGAACGTGTCTTAAATTTGTTCAGGAGAATTGGCATGGGCGCGTGTCTCGGAGGGAAAAAGAGGAAAGAACAATCAAGGGTAAATTCCAACAAGGAGTTTGGCGTAATTGCGAAAGTAGGTGACCCCCGACAGAAATTGAAAATCAATAAAGTGCAACGGTGTTCGTGATACACGGGGAACAGTGGTAGCTCTACTCGGCAGTTTTGAGGTTATGTTGCCCGAGACGGAGAGGCCAGATCGTCGAACGTTCTATTTTCGTTTCGGCGAAAAGTGTTTATTCTTGCCAGTCGTGTAGGCGCGCGTTACACATTATAATGCATCTGAATGCGAGAAGAAGTCACGAAAGCGCCGTGAGATAGTACAAACATGGGCAGAAGAAAATCTCACGGATCGTCTAAAAGTAAACAACACGTTACACACCAAAGGCAATTATCATTAGCGAAAAGAAACGAAATAAATGCCTTGTGCGAAAAACTATTTGTTTGTGAGTACGCTTTTTATACAACATGCCTTTATAATGTCGATATATTCTCTCTGCAATTCTACTATTTTCTGCACTTCTGTTCGTTTAACGTGGTTGCAAAATATCGAACAGTCGCGTTAAATATTGTTGTCACCGAATGCTAAACAAATGCATCTCAATACCAAACGCAAGATCACTTTGCGAATTTTATATCGTTAAAGATCTAAAATTCACGAAATATGTATCATATATCTCGTTTAACCTCCTGGATTTTAGAAATTGTAGAAGAATTTTTTCGAAGTATTTTTTTGGTTCTCATGTTTTTCTTCTTTTTTTTTTCTGAAATAGTGAGTATTAATTCAGCATACGTGACGCAACTATGGGACAATTACGTGGAGATATCAACGATTTTGGAGAAGGTTAAACGGTTGGAGGAAATGAAGACGGAGTCGCCAAAACGGTCCCAGGGGATTGGACAATTCATAAACTGGCTGAAAGAGAATGGCGCGAATTTAGATGGAGCGAGTGTTGCCGAATTTCCGGGTTACGACCTAGGCTTGAAAGCGGAACGTAATTTTCAAGAGAACGAGCTGATCTTAAGGATACCGAGAGGACTTATTTTCAGTACTCATAACGCGGCTCCGGAGTTGATCGCTATTCTAAACGATCCGTTGATACAACACATGCCGCAAGTAGCACTTGCGATTGCCCTCCTCATTGAGAGACACAAAGAAAATTCGAAATGGAAGCCTTATTTGGATATCCTTCCCACCACCTACACGACTGTGTTATACATGACCGCTGCTGATATGATTGAGCTTAAAGGCAGCCCTACGTTAGGTAAACGTCAATACAGTTAATTAAAATTTATTTCAGTATATAATTTTAATCTTTTTTTTTTCTAATCAAGCGTTTGCAATGATGAGGTGATAACTTTAACAATGAAAAGTAATATTAAATTGTAAAAGCAACAAACTTCATCTTCAAAAATGCAGACTATTAATTATTAGTGATATTAATCCTTTTAGTACTGATAAGACTAACATATTAATTTCACAATTTTTACCACAAACACCTTGGGTCTATTTGGTTCAATTTCTCTGTGACATCTTATTTTTACAAAATGAGTTTTTATAATAGAAAATATTTTTACTGATCAAAAGCATAAAAATTGATGAAAAGCAAAGTTATTTTCTTACGACGATGTTTTATAATTCTGGATGGTGTATAGATAAATTGTAAGATATTAAGAGGATTAATTGATATTGAACTATGAATTCATAGTACAAGATTTCAAAAAATAATTGTGATTGCTTTGGAGTTGACTTTTGTTAATTTACTGATTGTTATCGAGATTTTGGCAATAAAATTTTGATGTAACTTTTGTTGTAGAGGCCGCTTTGAAACAATGCCGAAATATTGCAAGGCAGTATTCCTATTTTAACAAGGTATTCCAAAACAACAATAATGCTGTATCTACTATACTCAGGGATGTTTTTACTTATGAAAGATACTGGTGAGTAATAAAATATAATGATCATAATATTTTCGTATTTTATATAAAAGGTAATTTATTTCGCTTATGAGTTATTTGTTTAAATAAATATGTATATGTAAGTTTAAAGGATGAGTTTATAACATAAGAAATCTACTAAGTTTTCCAATATTAAAAGGAGTACTAAAATAACGATATCTTATACGATATAAAGTTACATGAATATAACCTAAACATTAAGTCATACTAGATCTTATTATTGGAATAATCTATCAGAAGCTCTATACAGTCGTATGTACAATCGTCCACGTTTACAAAGTCAGTGCACAGGTTCGATAAAAAAAGTATATTACTTGACAACCATGCTTAATTCCGTGTGGTATTTTGTGCTTTTCACATTGAGTGAATATGAGCTCTAAACTTAAAGTATACAATTAATATATGTATGCTTTAACTTATATAAATGTGAGGATACTGTTATTGTTCTTTTCTTTTGCTTTCTTTTTTAGGGGGGAGGTATAATATTGCAAATACAATTAAATAAGTTTATTTCATATAATCAGGTATGGTTTCCCAGCTGTCATTAGCATCTAACGAGTCGTTATCGATATCACTCTTAGAATCCATCTCTGTAGGTTCTTGATTCTCGTTTTTCTCTGGCCTTTTCGTCGTTGATGTGGCCACCACGTTGACCATCACTGTGCTTAGGCTGCTTGAGTTCGATAGTTTCCTAGCCGTCATCACTGGACCTTGAAACACCGCTCTGGAAAACGTGTTTTTGTACCTATATTTCTGCTTTTGTCGGATTCTGCACACGATGAATATCGCCAGGAAGACTACAAGAGTTACGCCAAGAATTGCGCCACTCGCTATTATGCTTGGTTTCACTTTTGAAAGAGACTTTCCTTTCTTGCTCCTGCTATCATCTTCGTCGAGAATATTACCGGTATTGCCGTACACGGCCTGAATGTCGATGGAACTCGGTTCCTGCTTCACGATCTCCTTGACGAAACCGGACTCTACGACGTTTGAAGTGTCATTCGCGCGTATCATTTCCGCGTCGTTGTTCATAAATATCACGCCAACATTGCTGTCTTGCACCAGCAATTTCCTTTTCTCTTCTTTATCATACTGATCGGTGAACTCTCGCTGAATATCCTTTATAAATGGAAAAGAATCGAACGTTGTTAACAGATCAACAATCTCCACCGTACGATGTCTCTCCCTCTCATCTTTCTCAATGTCCATCTTCGGAGAGGTGTTAAACTCTATATCTTCATTGCTGACCTTCGATTCTAATTTAGGTACCAATTGTTCAGTCGTACCATCCTCAAGACGAACGAGATCCATTGAATTTGACAATGAATCAATGGTTTTCAAATTTTCAGTCGACTGTGACAAATAATTGTCAACTCCCTTGTTGTAGTTTTCGTGATTCACTATTGCTTTTCCTTCTTTGGACGACGAGGAACCCGTTGCTTTCAAATCATCTGTATCTTTTACCGCATATTTGTCATTTGACTTGTGAGCTCTGATCCGTGACACCTCGGCTAGATGAACTTTACTAGATCCCCTCTGCCTCAGCGCAATCAGTTCCTCCAGACTCATATTTCTCGATTTAAGAAGACGTTCCAACCTCTTTCCTGCCGATCCAGAGGCAAACAATTCAAAGATCTCGGCCCGAGCTTCCGGCTCCACCTCTGATATAATATCGTCATAACTCTTCTTCCCAGTTGTATTTCTATTCTGATGATTTTTCAGATTATCACTATCATTCTTTTCCACAAGTGGACTAATCGAAAGGGCGTGACGATTCTCCAACGTGGAATTGACGTCACGAGACATTGCATCCAACGCAGATTCTAACTCTTTCATTATGGTTTTACTCATATCACTCTCACTTTTACCCATATCAGTGAAGTTACCGATTTGAGTACTCTGTTCCAGATCGTAATACATCACTGTATCCGGTGTATCACTCTGGTATTCTTTCTCAGAAGAACTGCCATAATCTTCCTCAGAATAGTTTACGGTTACGCGTTGCTCTTCCTCTTTGAACATTCTACTTCTGTTGATGCTGTTCGAGTCGTTAAAACCTTGTCCTTGGTTTCCAGGACTCGCAGGCAAATTGTACGTCAGTTTCGAACGCTCCGTGGGACGCAGTATCTTCTCGATGCTCAACGTGGACCCTCTGTCCTCGAAGTGGCCCTTGGAACTCGCTAGCTTCGGTGTCTCGCCAGCCTCTACATCTTTCATCATCAGCCACACAGGCGACACGCCGTTCCGTCCCTTCTTGTAATCGGTGAAATCCGAGAATTCCATGATCTCGTCCTCGTCGAAACTCTCGGCTCGGATTTCACCACCGCCCGGCGATTTCGCGCCGGCATCGTCCGCTTGCATGAGCTCCATGGAATTCGTTGCGACCGGTAACGGCATCGGTGTCGTCATCGCAACTCGAGTAGCATCGACGTTAGCTGGAATCGATTTTCCAGTCGTTACGTTTACTACTTCACCGCCATTTACTTTATTCAAGGGTTCTCTCGCGCTCGTCTGGCTGTTTTGCAAGTTTGTACTCGCTGGAACGATCGGGATTATCAATTCCTCTTCGTTTCTCTCGGAACTCTTCGCCTTTGCAGATTTCTGCGACATGGTGAACGTCCGTTGCGGTCTCTCGGTGGTGATGAGTTTCGTGAACGAATTGGTCATTATTCTCGCAGTCTCTTCGTAATCCTGGCTCTCCTCAACGTCTTTCATCTTCAGGGCGTTGATCACGTCGGCTTTACCCTTCAAGAGATCGTTCAGCGTGAGATTCCTCCGCTGCAGGATCTCGGACAAGCTCGAACCTTCCTCCTGTTGCATCTTCAACAGAGACTTCAACTCGACGGCGTTCTGTAGGAACGGTGCGTTTTTAGTTGTAGTTTCTGGAAGATTTTCTCTCGGCCAGGGCCCAGAATTGTTATTTGTTCTTCCTTCGTTCAACGACGTTTCACTTTCTACCAGAGTGAATTCATAATTTTGCGGTGGTCTACGTTTCCTTGGTCGTGGCTTTAAATACTCCTCGTCGTTGAGTTCATGCTCGTAGTCGTTCGGTCGTGCTTGAAATATCTCTCTGTGCCTCGCTGACGTTTCCTTATCTTCTTCAATGTCCCTGTTTCGTTCGTCGTTCCTCGTTTCTTCAAGCGTAGCCGCGTTTTCACTATTCCACGGTCGATTTCTCTTTCGCGGCGAGATCTCGTCTCGTTCGTGGTATTCCCGTTTGATCTCTGTCGGCCCGTGGTCGTAATCGTTGTATGGCGATCGATGGTTGTTCCTCGTGCGAAGGAAATTTTCACGCCTGTTGCTCTGACGATATTTCGGTGTACGACGATCGTAGTCGTCCTCCTCCTCGCTGTTGTCGATCTTGCCCCTGGAGAACCGGGAAAATTGGGAGAACGGAAGTAGAGGGATCGTGTCGCCGTCTCGCCATTTTGGTTCCAAGGCCTCGCCGTTGTTTCGCCATTTACCCACCAGCTCGGCCGTGTTTTCGTCCCAGGCTTCTGGTCGGCCTCGCGTTTCCTTCTAAAAATAATTCAACGTTTGAAGTTATTTGAGTTCGTGGAAGATTCTTTGAGCAGTTTTCTTAGTAAGTGATGTGTAAAAGAAGAAATGAGATACGTCGTTCAGGGAAATTGATATTTTAATTGGTCAGATGAGTTGAACACGTTGACATGTTTTGTTTTTAATTTTTATATTATATATATAATGCACAATATATATTTATATACAGTATTATTTAATTATTCATGCCTATATTATTTTATTTTAAATCATTTTACAGTTCATTCTATTCTGAAAAGTAATATATATATATTGCATGAAATGTAAATATTACAAATAATATATAATATACAAATAATATATTATTTTAATCATTCTAAGATGTAAAGTATAATAGTAAAATAGTAAGAATAAAAATGTATTGAAATGTCAGAGTACAAAGGGTAACATATATTATTATGTACAAAACTCTTCAAATCACTTGCGCTTGATAATTCCATGTTATTACTCATGAAATATTCATTTTTAAGGTGTAAATGGGTTAATAGCGATTAATTGATTGCAAATGCTTATGCAAATTCTTATTATTATGAATACAATTAAAGTTTGAATATTTTATACACTTTTACATACTATATGTATGTATGTATGTATATATTATACATACATGTATTTTTCACATTTCTTATAAACATATAAATACCCATACTTGAATGTTGATAATAAGCATAGAGTTAGATTATTTATTAATTATTGCGGTGTTTTAAAAAAATATTGCACAATATTAATAACTCTGTCTTTATTTGTTTTTAAATCTTTCTAGATTTAATTTTCTTTTCAAATTTAAGTTTTAGATTGAGATGTAATTCGAATTTTTTAAAGATTGCAATTAATCACAATTACAGAGATGACAATTAAAGATTCACAAAGGACGCAATTACACCCTTTCCAAAATAAATTTTTCACTCTGTGAAATATATATATATATATTTTGAAAAGGGAGAGATCGTGAAAACGAACGTGATCGTGGAGATACTCCAACAAAACATTTTCTTCGAGCAATTTCTCTGCTTCACCAGGGGAAGAGTTACAACTTGTCCCAGTTTCTAGAATCACCCTGTAAACACTTTAATTGCACTTTTCCTAAGTATCAATCGAATTAGGTATAATGTAGGATCAACTCGAAAGAAAGTTGATTTTATGGGACTTGATTGAATTTTTTAATCATGATCAAATGCATATTAATCGTCGTCATTCTAATAAGTATATTTTCTAACTTTCCTAACTTTGTAATTTTAGAAACAACATTATTTCAGTATTTCCTAAGTTGATCATTATATCAGTAGAAATTTTTCCAACTCTTTGAGCTACAATTAATTAGTTTTTAAATTTATTCTTGATCGATTTTGACTTTATTTTTCTTAATTTTGATATTTTATCGATTGTTATTATTTATATTCATGTTATGGTTGTTTGAAATGTAGTATTCTTTAAGTAATCAATAATATAATTCAATAATGTTTTTATCTGTATAAAGGATTAAATTGTTAAATATGTAATTACATATAATTGTAATTATAAATACTTGATTATATCATTATAATTTAATAATTTTTTCGTATTAATAAGAAAAATTAAACGATGACTCCAAGATACATAGAAAATTGTTTTTTAAAGTATCTATTATGATTCAAACAAATACAGGAAGAGATATAAAGCTAAGAAAAATACAATTACAATCGCAATCAAGAACGAGTGAAAAAATATAATTTTCACACAATTCAAAGGTTGAGAAAAATTCTCGTAAATAAATTTTTACGATCGGTTTAAGAAACATTCAGTTTTCTTTGTAATTCGTAAAGTTAGAAAATAATTGATCACAACTGAAATATCATCTAAACTTAATCGTTTTCAAATAACAGAATTTTTTTTAAAGGGAGGAAGGAGGGACTTTTTATAGAATAAAAGTATATATAATGATTGATGCATAAAATAATAATAATAAAATACTAGTTTCACTTGAGAAAAATGTCGATAATTTCCAAAATCCAAAAGGAACTGATTTTCTGAAGGAAAAGTTTCACTCTGACGCAATCTCTTTTCCTTGTCGAAAATAACTAAAAAATCTAGGGAACGTATAAAAATATTTATCTGTCTCGACAAATATTTTTCTTCTCGTTGAAAGTTTCGAAAGATCCAGTTTTATCTGTCGTGGCTTTAACAAGTGGCAAATATAGGAGAAAGTAGCGAATTCGTGGATTTCGGGGACGAATCTGATGATGTTTCACATGAATTACTTAAAATTATTGAAATCGCGTTTCTACATGTTTGACCAAAGGCATCGATTCGATAAATACACATATACACATTTACAAACTCGTTTAAGAAATTAGGGCAGGATGTTAGTATCCCATAAAATTCAAAAACAAATATTTAGTAATAGCTATTTATTTGCAGACAGTGCTGATTTCGATGGCCTTGATGTATGTTGTCAATGTCAACGTTTTAAGTAATTTCATACATATATGAACATATGTAAATACATTTAGCTTCATAAAATAAAAAGTTTTATATGACCCATATAATTATATATGTAAATATATATATATTAATTTTATATATAATAAGATATATAAAATATATAAAATACACAAAATGAAAAATTTTGTAAAGTTAAATATTTATGGATCATATATATAAAAGAGAAATTAGTAAAATAGTACAGATATTTAATAACCTGTTTAATAACATACTTGAATCAGAATCACTTTTAATTTTCAACATCTTACATGTTTTTAATAAGATTTAAAAGGTGTGGATGCAATTTAGTATATTAAGTGAATTTTATTAATTATGAAAAAAACAGAGATATATGCAAAGTACATTCAGCTCTTATTAATAAATATTTATAATTACTGTACATGTAATATTTTAATAGAAATCCTATTCAGATATATTTGCCTACATATCTGTATCTTTTTGTTATTGAACTGAATATTTACTAGTTCATTTATAATTGTGCTGTTCTATTGTTGATTATGAACTTTTATCGCGGCGATGAAAAATCTTTACTAAGTGTACATCTACCTATTAGAATAATAACAAAGCGACTTTCTAAAATTTGAACATACTGTAATTCGTTAATAATAATAGTTAAAATAAAAATAAATCGATATATATTGTCGTTTTTGATTGTGATAAATTAATGGATTGGTAAATATTTATGTTCGTTAACAATGTTATTAAATATTTGATTATTCGAGCATGAATCAACTTCAAATTCGAAGGTTTTATTTTTTTTACAAAGAGATCATGTAGAAAATCCCTGCTTTTTGCAGGATTTGATACAAGATAGTAATTTGCGTCGATACTTTCATTCATTCATCGCCGCTGTTTAAATTAGTTACATTTTTTTATTATTATTATTATTTTAATTTTATGTCGTGTGACAGTGCAACTAGCTGAGCTAACCACGTACCAAAATATGTAACTGCTAGAGTAGTGTGAGGCGAATAGAGATAACAAAGCTCACGAGTTCCTTGTCAATTCCTCGAGCGTTATTCTTGACGATGATAAACGCCAAAACGCGTGTCGAGGCCGACAGAGGTAAAAAAAAAAAAAAAAAAAAAAAAAAAAGACTAGCCGTATAGTAGCACACGAACAGCCAGAGAAAGAGAAAGCTGATGTAGCTAGCACGGAAAGTTCGGAACATTGCAGACAACTTTTGTCGTATACTTCGCTGTCGTTTGAAAACAAATTTCGATCAATGCCTGATCAAACTGATGAATTCTTGCCAGTTAAATCCACTAGTAGTAGTTTGAATTTGAATTCCTATTAGGCAGGATGGGCTAAAAATCACTTTGTACTAAAATAAGTCTGTACATAAATTTAACTCTGTCCTGGTCAACGTTTGAGAAAGATAATTTTTAAAACATAGTGAAAAATATCATGTTTGATCTTAAATTTAATTTGAAGCTAATAAAATCAGTTTTCTCGTATATTTTGATGTTTTATTAAAAAAAAAAAAAAAAATGGGTGGGAAGAAACTTTTGGTCCACCTTGTACAATGAAGAACTAACGAATGATGAAAAATTGTCGATAATTTGAGCTGTTATATTACATATCCCTTAATTATTTTTATTTTATTTTATTTTATTTTATTTTATTTTTATCTTATTTTATTTTATTTTATTTTATTTTATTTTATTTTATTTTATTTTATTTTATTTTATTTTTAATAACTCCCTATTAAAAAAACATTTATATATTTTCACGAGTAACCAAAATTAATATCATTTAAGATTAAAATAACTAGAAGGATTAGTTAAGAAAATTCAGGAATCTAAATGACGACGATCCTGTCGTCGAATTACAAAACGAATAATAGGCAAGGTACGAATTAATAAACATCTCGAGATGTCGCCCTGTCGCGCAGAATTGTAGGGTATTACAGCGTTTGACGCATTTCAACTGAACTTTGAAATGTCTCAAGAATTTCATGACGTATGTACGTACGTTGCCTAGGTATCTACGTGTTTCGTCTAAAGTGAAAATAAGAGAAAGAGGGAATATGCGATTGGTGGAAGTCTCCACGTTCACGCAACAAGACATTCACTCTTTCATTCGCGTGCTGAGGTAAATGCAATAATTGGCTATTGACGTTTTGTCGCCCCGACTGCTTTTATTGCCCGCTGTGGATCTAATTTTGTGCTACAGGTGACGTCAGAGAGATTTTACGATGTAGAAAAAGACGTGCCAGAAATAAAAAGAATCGAGAATCAGGGGGAGAAATTGAGAGAGAACTGGCATAAAGTGTGAACTTGTATAAAATTGCGGGTATTAAAAGAAACGACAAAATTGAAAATTGGGATAAAATTAACAATTTCGTTAACGATTTACAATGAGGTAGGAATTAAAAATAATTATGAATTTATATGAGTGTAATATCAATTTTGAATGAATAAGTTCGGATAAGAATTGAGAATAAATACTCGTCGAATTCTCAAAGTTAATAATTGGGTCAAAAATAACTAATAATAATTAATCAATTAAGAATCAACGTTGCGTAAATACAAAGATTCAATTGTTTCATAACCAGAGAATGGAACAAAATTCAAAATACATGTGAACATATAATTTTCGATATAATAATTATATTAATATAATAATAATTAATTATATTAATATTATATATAATATAATTAATAATTATATTATAATTAGTAATAATAATTAATAATTATTATAATATTATAATAATTATATTTCGAAATTATAATAATTATATATATTAGAAAAACACCGATGCAAATTAAATGAAAGATGCAAATTGAAAAATAAATGAAAAGAAATAATTAATTAAGGAGATCGAAAATTTGCTTTGAATTAAAAATTAATTAATATACTACAAATTGTAATATACTAAATTAATAAATTAATATATAACATAATAATAATATATATAATTAATGTATAATATATAATAATAATATATATAATAGTATGTAAAATTAATACGTGGAGCGAATCTACAATTCGTTTATATTTCAAATCTATAGTTCATTTCTCTTTCAAATCTTCTTTCCTCTGAATTCTGTCGTACCACTTTCCCTTTTGAATTACGCTTACGTTTTTTTGTCTCAAAGCTCGTTCACGGTTACGAGCAACTAAAAGTTAGAGATCGTCTGTCATATTAATATCTCGATTATTCGAAGTAGTGATGTAACTTCTGATAAAAACAAATACGAAGTATTGTTTTTTGCTTTGTTACTGTATATAACTTTTCTTTTTATATATATATCGTGGTATGAAAATATATAACACTCGATATCGTCGATTGTGTAACGTAAGAGCTTCGTTATTGAGTTCAAATCGATGCGTGTTTGTGAAAGAGTTTGACTCTGTTTCGCAATGTCGAGTAATCAACAGGCTACGACAGATGCTACAAACTTCTCGATCAAATTTCATTATAATATAATTGTAATTATACGTAATTTAATTGCGCATCATTGAGGCAAAGAATTTTTAAAAAATAATAGACTGCTGATTAATGATTTCTAAAATCTTTTACAAGACGAAGGATGCTTTTACTAATCTCTTAATTGAAGAGAAAATTTAATTAGAAAAATTATTGAGTTGAAGCTTTAAAAATGACAGGCTGCCGACTGATGGCTTGTAAAACTGTTGTGTAACTTTCTACACGAGAAAAGTTTTATATTCACACGTACAAAGTGGCGGACGGAGGAAAGTTCAAAAGACAAGCACCACGTAGAGATAGTCCATAATTTTATAAATTACATTTAGTAAGAAGAATAAACGGATATAATGCACGTCCCATAATGAACAACTACTACCAGTGTATAGCCATTATCATATAGACAATGTCTAACCATTCATCATACAGGCAAATACAGGCAAATACCAAGTTTAAACTTTCTTTCGTCCAAGGAAACTCCAATCGTCAAAATCAACTCATTCTAAGTAATCAAAGTAACTAACCGTGTCAGAAAGCTGCCAACCTTCGATGCTCTGAAATTTACCGAAGATTCAGTTTGAAGATTTTAATTCAGGAAGAGAAAAAAACTCTGCTTCTGTTAGATATATTTTGTTACTGTCTTTTTTTTTTTTTTTTTAAAGTCGAGAATTTCTTGTTTCAAAATTGTAATATTTTCTCAGTTTCAAGTATATTTAAGCAAACACTTCTCAATAGTTTCTATCCAGTGATAATATTATATCGGCGAGTTCAAAAAGAAAGCGACGAATTGTTGTATACGGTTTGGTCGCTCGTTATGGTCCGCAATCAGTTGCCAGCGCAAGTGGTTAACCAGCGAATAACATAAATAGCAGAGTATAGATATATATTATATAGTATATATAGTGGAAATGGTAGTATTTCGACAGTAACTTTGACAAATATGAGAGTTGGTGAGTTTGGTGATTTGTTTCAATTTATATATTAAAAATATTAATACTAAATTTAACAATGTACAATTCTTTAAATAACTACTAAATTTAATAATATACAATTCTTTAAATGAATTAAATTTAAATTTATTATTATTATAACAATAATAATACTAAAAATTAAAATTACTATAATGATCAATCCATTTGAATAATAATTTAAGCTAAAATTAAAAAAAAAAAATTATTCTTCAGTTCAATCAATTAAAATTGAAAAAGAGAAATTAGTAATAAATATATTAAATTTCTCAAAATAACACAATCATAAGGATCGTTTCGATAAAGATCGCAAGATCCGTGGCGTTTCTGTTGAATTAAATTTTTGTCATTTCGAGAGTTGGCAGGTTTCTGTAATTCTGTTTCAATTGTTGCTTACCCGGTGATCCTGGCCGTCGTCTCGCGTGACGAGCTCCGCACCTGCCAGCCTCCCATAAGCTGCAAGCTCAAACGTGCAAAGCGTCAACGAGAGCAGACAGTATGACCTCCACATCGTTGCAGTGCGATCGAAACGTGGACAGTTCCTCGTCCTCGAAGCACCAATTCTCCCGTAGCTCCTCCACGTTGCCGTGGTGGATCGGCACCTCGATACTCGCCTCCTCCCTGCCGTACAGGTGCACGAAGATCGCCGCTGTACACAGGATAACGAAAATCGCGTTCTTCCTGTTGCACAGACCGAAGATATCCTCCAGGTTCATGCAGAACCGCTCGGTGGAGTCCTTTCTTTGCCGGTTAATTACCTCTTCTTCTCTCGCCCGCCGTTAATTCGTTCCTTTGTTCCACTTCCTCTTCTCCAGCTCCTTTCTCTCTCTCTCTTTCTCTCACTCTGATGAGATGTTGCAGTCGAATCGAAACTGTTCTCTGATCTGCAACGTGGAAACTTTCTACTTTATTTCGAAACACTTTAGCTTTGTTTCTCTTCTCTTCTACGATTTTTGGCCAGGCGAGTGAAGATATCGCACCGGTGATGAATATTTCTGGGATGAAGGATTTCAGCGTTTGGCTGATGGCATTTGAGTTTGCAGTTGCAGTTTCTTCGCCTTTTAATAAGCAGATTTTAAAGCAGATTTCGCTGTATTTGATTGAATTAATTTTAGAAATACGTCTCGTTCTCTTCGCCACGATGTTCGCTTCTTTTAATCTCTTACGCTGCCAAAATTGCAATAGTTTCTCAGTATATTTAAGTACAAACCAGAAACAAATAATAAATACTTCTCAATTGTTTCTGTCCAGTGATGTCATAGCCGACGAGTTCAAAAAGAAAGCGACGAATTATTCTATACGATTTTGGTCACTCGTTACGGTCCGCCAATCAGTTGCCAGCGCAAGCGGTTAAATGGAAACCGTGCGGATTTCAAATTTTCACTCGACAGATTCAGATTTACGATTGTTGTTAATTATTGTGACTCGATGTTACTCGATAGAATTACGAAACATTGTTTGAAAATACACTTCTGTCTCTTCACCACGATTTGTAGATTAGATTGGTTCAATGTGAATTACAAGAACGGATTTCTGATGAATCCTCGCTCAATAAGAATGTGTCTCTTCCTCTCCACCACGAGATTGATCCTTTCAAAAGAAATCGTACGGATTTAATTTTCGTTCGATAAATTTAGATCTACTTGTTTAGTTGTATGCTTTACAAGTATTAAGAATGTTATTTGATAGAATTATAAAATTTCGTTTATTAAATATGCTTCTATCTCTTCACCGTGATTTTTGGTTAAATTAGGTTGGTAAAAATTATGTAGGCAGATTTTTTTTACAAATTTTAGTTTACCGTTCGTTTGCGCTTGTAATTATTGAAAATGTCAGCTTAATAAAATATAGAAATATGCTTCTATCTCTTCATCACGATTTTTGATTAGGATAGGTTGATGAAAATCATATAGATAGATTTATCATTCCAATTATTAAAGAATTAAAATTAGTTATTCTTAATAAAAAAATATGGAAATGTGTTACTTTCTCTTTCAGGATTTTCGGTTAGTTTAATAGAACTCAGAACAGTTTATGAATTTTAATCTTCGCCCTGGTCGATTTAAATTTGTAATTACATATAACATTGCATGCAATTATACTTTTTCTTTACAATTTTTGAATTTTACTGACACTCGCTCGATAGAATTTGAAAGTACTTTTTCTCTTTCTCCTCGCCACGATTTTAATTCAACAGACTTAGTCATACAGACTTATACACTTTAATGGATTTAAGTTTTGCAATTGCAATTCGTAATTATTACACGTTTGGATATATATTTCTTTCTTTTCACTACAGATAATGGATTCTTTAAATTAGTATGTTCTCGACGAACTTTAATCATCACTCGTAGATTTACGTTCTGGAAAATATGTTTCTCTCTGGTATATTTTAATTACGATTTTAATATGAAACACGCGAGTGCTAAATCTCTTACTTCGTTGACTTACGTCTGCAATTACCGTTTGTAATTATTAGAAATTACCTCTGGAAAATACGTCTCCTATCTCAGTTCTGCTTGTTTCTCAACACAAGCAAGGCACACGAACACCAGAGATTTCTCTCCCGACTAGTCTGACTATTTCAACGTAAACCACATGGTTAACAACCTCTGTCATCGATCGTTCGATAACGCGTTGCAAATCGAGATTCTCGCGGGAAAATTGTCTCGCGAGCTCACTCAGGCAAACCGTTCTTCTCTACTCTCGTCTGTCGTTTCAAACTTTTTCGAAGCGGCAAACGCTCCTCCACGCTCGGCAAATCGTTCTCGCGCACTGACGCCGGTTTTCTCCGTGCACGGTTCTAAGTAAGTCGGTGAAACTCGAGAGCAGTCTTTTACTTTAAAACGCTCTCCTGTTCCCCGGCCAGGGCCATCGTCGTGATCGCGTGTTTCATCGTTGCCGCAGCCAACAACCGATTCCTAGTCGCTTCTAGAGTCTAAGATTTGGGAGGAAGGGGGAAGATGAAACGCGGAGGATTCCTCGCGATCTGTTAGACACGCGTCGATAGATTCAACCGCGAGTTTGAATCACGGAAGAGTTTTGTTGCCTTTGAGAGAGTTGTCGGTTTTTCTGTAAGAAAATTGTACGAAAATTGTATCGTATTCTATTTACGTGTTGGCCACACATAAGCAAGCTTCGAAAATTGTGTGTAGCCATTGAAACACTGAAGGGTGGTCATTGAAACAAACTGAATGATACAAAACGAAAATAACTTTTACAAACACATGTTTTTTTTTTTTAGTTTTTGTATTATTTTATTTTTTTATTTAGCTTTACTATTTATTATTTTTATCATTCATTATTTTATGTTTTAGTTTAATTTTATTATTTTTATTATTTTATTTTTTAGTTTTTTATCATTTTGTTTGGAAATGTAATTAATGGATTTTTTTCAGTATTACGTGTGAATTTTTATGAATTTTAATTAAAGATTACTGCAATGTATATAATAACAACATATATATAATATGTACTACTATATATACAATATATTGTATTATATATAATATTGTAATTGTATTATATATATTATATATAATATTTAATTGTATTATATATAATATGTAACTGTGCTAATAATATGTGCACATATATGTGTACATAATTAAAAATAAAAATTCTTCCTTCATCATACAAGAGATGTTCCATTTAAAATATTCGAGGAATTACCGAAGCGATGAAGATGTTCATGAAAATTAGTATAATAAATAATATTCTCCCAGTTGAATATATTTTAATCTCATCAGATCGTATACTCAAGAAAAATATGATACTTAAATATCGTTAATGAGAAGATCCTTTAATCTTCGTAGCTCAAATAATAGCTTAAATTTCCATTAATTGTGTTCAAATCATATGAGAATCGATGTGCGTGTAATATGCTAAAATTCGTACAGTACAACGAATGAGAAAATTTATGATAAACTTATATAAATTTAGTAAAATTCAATAAAATTTGTAATAATATAAATAACAAAATAAATACTTAAATACAATAATATAACGAAAGAACAATCTCATTTTATGAAAAATCTGTCGAGTCTCCAAAAACATTTACACACGCTATATGCAGTTGTATACGTGGTATAATGATTAGGGAAAAGTTTATAATACATTAAAGAACGCAAGCTCTTATTTGATCACGTATTTTGCGATCACATATTTATAAGTCATTCAAAACTCCACAAAATTTCTTCGTGAAAGATTGTAAAATTCAAATTGTAATTTTTTTCACATTACAAATCTAAATCCTTTTGCGAAGGATCATGAATTAACCGTTTTGATCATTCTGTTCGTTCTAGTGTTAAATTAACACTATAATTTACGTTAAATTACGTATATGTTAAATTAATACTAAAATTTTATTCGAAGTTTTATTCGAATAAAATTTTATTCGAATAATGCCCAACTCTGTACTGTTAATGATGGTTTGGACATTGCGTCCAGATAGCATTTATGGCATTCACTTTCCCTCTTTCCATTTCGTACAATTTTCTACAAACTGTGTGGCTTGCGTAACTTCTAATTGGTTAACTAATTCTTCTTGCTGGATCGTGTTGGATCTTCGTGTCCGGTATGTGAGAAATCATCGCTGTCAGTTCTTGCGGTCGAAAACGTCGTTCTTCCAATCGGTTGAATCAAAATCGTTTGTTCTAAAATTCTTAAAACCATCTTCGATTAATGTTTGATACAACATGATCGATCCTATTTTATTTTCGCGATATTTATCTACTCGAATATTGGTAGATAAATATAAATTATTATTCTATTGATAAACTTCTGTTAAATATTAATTGATAATTAATAATCTTCTTTTGCAATTTGCCTGAAAAATATTTGCAAATTATTTTATTGTTAATTGTTATAAATAAGTTTCGTAGAGTAATAATCAGACTACAGATCTTTTTGTTTATAACTTCATAGCTTTGTATTCATTTCATTTATTTCGTTTCATTTATGATTTTTGAATTGTAACAAAGTAAAATTGTAATTTATTATACACATTGTAATTTTATTATTTCATTTATACATATCTATTAATTTTATTACCAATTAAATATTTTATAAATAATTACTTAATTTACAATCTGAGTGGAATTATCTGGTCAATAAATGGTCTACTTTATTATTATTAGTAATTAAATAAAATATCATTTTGTTTACAAAGTTGGAAATTATCTGGCCAATAAATGATCTACTTTGAATATTTTATATAATTTATATATATATATATATATATATATATATATATATATACTTTAATTTAATATACTTATATAATATAATTTATATAATTTAATTTAATATACTTATATATAATATATATATTTTAATATATATAAAATATTTATATATAAATACTTTATATACTTACTTTCTATGTTTCTCACTAAAAATCCGCGGACCAGTAAAATAAGTTTCTCATATAGCCTTTGAATAAATCTAAAATCTGAGAAGAGACATACCATATAAAAGTTAATGATTAACTTAATTATTAAATTATTGAATTACAGCAATTAAATGAGACACAGCGTATATGTTTATATTCATCGCGAAAGTCTATAAAGTCAGACGCAATACGGCAGATATACATTTCCCACGTGTTGGAATACGTTATGGAATATGAGAATACAATTGACGAGTTCATTAATTATGCGACAAGTTGCTCAACGATCAGTCTGTCTACAAAATGTCTCGTATTAAAGGAACGTAGACGTTGCATGCCAACGTGATTCTGATGATTTTTCATGCCTCCAGATCGAGTGCAAAGAATCGGTGAGATACTGAGACGAAACGATGCAATCGATTTTATTTTTTAGTTAATTAAAAAAAATCGATCCTATCGACACGAGCAACGTGTCTTGACTACAATTAAACAGCCAATTAAACAGAAGATTAATTAAATTAATGAAGTATTCTTTGTTACATGTAGAACTTTGATATTCGAGGGGAGAGATTAATTGCTTGTTAAGAAAGTAATTACTTAATCACTCGTCTTTGCTACTTCGCGATTAAATATCTTGCTATTGTACAGATGCGTTAAGTATAATAGTGTTACAAATGTAGAAATAAATATTTGATTTCTCTTATATAGTCAGACAAGTTGCATATAAAAACGTTGTTATTAATTAATTGATTGAATAATTGATTGATTAGTCGAATTTAGCGAATTGTCGATGATAAAAAATTTATATTGTTAAAAACGTACTTGGACTGATTTTTAAGGACTACACTCTTTCTATAA